AACAACTCAAAATTTCTGCTACCAGTTCTCCAGAACTGGTCAGAACCTGCTGAATACCCCCTCTGGGGTGCTGTCCAAATAAGTTGCACCAACTTATACAGCTGGTCCTTAGTTCATTTAGAGACTGTTCGAAGTTACAAAGGCCCTGAAAAAAATGACTTATGACCAGTTTTCACACTAAGGACCATTGCGGCATTCCCATGGTCACAGGATACAAATTCCAGTGTTTGGCTCGTATTTATGACGGTTGCAGTGTCCCAGGAGGTCATGGGATCCCCTTTTGAAACCTGCTAGCAAGCAAAGTCAATGGGGAAAGCAGATCCCCTTTACAACCGTGTGACTAACTTAATAACTGCAGGGGGCAGTGGCAAGAAAGGTCATAAAACAGGTGGAGGAACTCCCTTAACACATTTCTCACTTAACAACTGAAACGTTGGGCTCCATTCTGGACGTAAGTTGAGGACTTCCTGTAATTTGCTCTAAGTAAGGGTGATCAGTGGGAAGAGACAATGAGAATCGAAGCCCAAACAGATCCAAGCGCTGGAGTGGCAGGTTTCCTTTTGGACTGAAGGGAGCCCAGAGATGCTGCTTGTGGCTGTGAATTACCCACAGGAAGGAGCTTGGCTCTGATCCAGCAAATTTGTACCGATGTTTTGATGCAAATACTGGAGGGTTCAAGGAGTTTAAACATTTTGAGAGGGACAGGAAGGCCGTGTGTTGTTTCATAAACTTCGTCCCCGCTTCATGAAAACCTCAAAGAAAGACTGGAGAAGTCGCTCTTGGCTCTAACATGCAGAGAGAGAGAGAATGTCTGAAAGGAATCGTCTAGGTTGGGTTGGCCCAAGTGCTTTCTCTTTCTGCCAGGCTCTCAGTTAAGTGGAGTGTTGGTTTGCTTTGTGGGATTGTGAGTGCGAGTCTCGCTATTCCCAGTTAACAGGCTTGGGATTCTGGGACTCGAAGTCAGGGCCGTTCTGAAGCTTAGCAAGTTGGAGGAGGCTGCTCTGAGATGAGTCCTTGGGATTAAGGGAAGAATTGTCTCATTTCCTTTTGTCTGCTTCCTCTCTCACGGTGTGTGTGTGTGTGTGTCTCTCTCTCCTCCAGAATGAGCGATCCCTCTGGGGAAGATTGAAGAGGCGGTTTAGAATAACAAGGGGATCTGTAAGCCGTCAAGAAACCATCCAAATCACAGTGACCAGTAACACCAGTAGTGACACCACATCCCAAAGCCGGCACCGTTGGTAAGTAAGGGTATGATGCTGGACTTATTCAGATGTAGGACTGCTCTTCCATGAAGTGTGGAGTCTTGGATACTGACCCCTGAAAGAAAGTGGGGTCTGCTCCTGTTTGTGATAGATGTGAGATTAATCAGAGACCTTTTAGCTCTACACACTACTGGATTCAGTTCAGGTACAATAGGAATTAATACAATAGCAATCATCTTTCTAGACAATCCAATGCATGGCTCTACGAGTTATTGCAGGAAAAAATAATGCAGGATCCGGAGAGCAGAGCTTGCTTGCTTACCTGTCTATGTGTTTATTGATTTATATCCTGCCTTTATTATTTCTATAAATAAGTCAAGGTGGCAAACATGCCTAATACTTCCTCCTCCTCTTCTCCACAAGAACCTGGGAAGCTTTGGGATGGGGGAGACTGCCATTCAGTTGGCTTTCATGCCTAGGGCGGGACTAGAGTTTCCAGTCTCTTGATTTCTAGCCTGATGCTTTCACCATTATCTATCTACCCAACTTGCTGGCTGGGGAATTCTGGGAATTGAAGTCCATGCATCTTAAAGTTGCCAGAAGTTGAGAAATGCTGTGTTAGAGTGTGCAGCTCTGACAATTTAAGGAAATAGAAACAGTAGAGCCAAGCCTTTGGTTTCATACAGCTGCTCATTGCTACATACACCCAGGCACAATAAGTGCATTTATTGGGGGGGGGGGGAACCATTAGGTGATGGTTGCAGCGCTCTGAAAAATAGACCTTGTATGATGCAGTTTTGTACCTGTTGGTTCTCTTCCACATCTGTGTTTCCTCTCTGTAAAGATGGGTTTGTATTTTACTAAGTGCCAGCACAAATGATAAGAGTAAAAAAAAAAAAAAGCAGTTTTGAACTGTAAAAATGCACGAAGTAGCTTTGCACAGCCTGATAAAAACATATCATCCAAGGCACTAATTAAAGAAAAGAAATAGAACTCTCTTAGAGGTCTCTTTACAAAGCAGACAAGCTGATTTCATGTTGAGACGAAATTGTCTTTCATCTTAAAGCACTGTCCTATCCCCCCAAATTTCAGCTGAGGTGGGGTAGAAATAGCAGATTGCTCTCCCTAGGCTTGGAAACATTATATTTGGGTGGAGTGGGTGGCCTTTCAGGGCCTGGGGGTCCAAGTGATAGAAAACACTTTGGTTAAATATAACATTAAATAAAACCTGTGCTTGAAACTTTACCGCTGCTATGTTTTGAAAAAAGTGACATTATTGAGACCTACAAAGGTAGCTTGTTGTGCAAACTGTTTGTCCCTTTCCCCCATGTTGGTCTTGAGTCCACCAACATCCCCTCAGACATCACTAAGAGTCATGGGCTTTGAATATTCTTCAGCAGAATATCAAACAAGGCCTGAGAGATTCAAAGAGGAACCAAAGCAAGGCAAATGAGACCTGCTTTTGTTTTCTTGGAATTGAACTGAAATGAACTGAAAGGCCTTGGGATTCTTCCTAGCAAAAAGGAGGGGAGAAAGCCAGATATTGCTAATATATTCACTCCCATGAATCTTTTTTGATCCTTTTGCGGACAGAACAAATGGTGTAAACAGAACAGCCTCCCTCATGTCCATTGGGAAATCCCTACTTTGCGGAATGTAAAATGTCTTCTTGTTTAGTTTGTTTTTAATTGTTCAGTGTTCTTTTTAATTAAATAAATTTGATATTCTCTTCTTCTCTCTCTCTCTCTGCCCCTCCCTTTGTCTTCCCCCATTTGGTGCTTGTAATTGTATAACTTCACAGATGACATTGTATTTTTTTTCATTGAAATTGTATTTTTTTAGTATTTTTAAAAGATAACTATATATGTGGCTGTTTGAATATATTTATTGTATTTATTGTATTGTATTTAAATAAGGAAAATAAAACGTTTTGCAGACTGAAAAATCTGAACCCGAGTCGAAAAAAAATGTTTGAAAATCTAAATTCAATGGAACATAGTACCAAAGCTTTCCAGGGCTGTATCATTTAATGCCGCACGGAAGGAGGCGCGTTTGAAAACTTTTTGTGGAGATATATGGAATCCTTATGAGAGTCTGCTAAAGTAGAAGGTCTTTAGGGAAATGCAGAGTCCCCAAACTTTAAAAAGATGATCCTGTTTCTGCTTGAAATTGTGATGTTTCCCCCTTATGCCTTGGGATTTAGAAGGGAGAACCGGCAATAGTGGAGACATCCATGGGAGTTTTAGGATACGTGGAAATGCCGGACTGAGCAATAGATCAGACCAAGATGGAAAGAATTTGGGCTTTGCTGGTGGGTGCAGGTAATATTTTGTTTAGCTGGGAAAGTGTCTGCCGTGCACCATTCTGGCTGCATATCTCCTTCTGCAGAGAAAGAGAATGTGCTTCTTAAATGGAGAGAATTGTAATCCAAATGAGGCTAGGTTGCAATTCTGTTTAAAATGACCAAGGATTTGAAGTAGCTTTTGCATTGTGATGCTAACCAAGCCAAGGGAGCGGGATTTAAAATATGCATTGTGAAGGGGGAAAGGGAGTACATTCATTTCTATTCTCCCTGTAATGAAGATGGGAGTTTGTGAGAGGAAGTATTGGCCTGTGTATTGATTTCGAGAATTGTACATGATCTATGAAGCCCAGGACAAAAGATTGCAACACGGGAGGATGTAGGTGGCCCATCTCCGAACAGCCAGCTGAACTTTGACAAGAAACGAGACCAGGTCAATGAATAAGGCAGAGAATAGAAACAGTGTAAAGGACCAGATGCCGGGCAGCTCTTAATTTATTGCGGCTCAGTGATTAAACCATCAAAACGATCCACTTTGTGTCCGGTCGGTTTCAACTGCACGCTGAGAAGATGCGAGGAAGTGAGCGAAATACGAGCACCCCTCCCGATGTACTAAACTTGGGGGCTGGGAAAGAAAGAGGCTCAAAATAGTTCTTGAACTCGCCACCGGGTGGCAAAACACACTCTTTCAAACAAAAGTTAAGGGAACTGGTGGCAGCCCTTAGTTTGGCATTTGCCAGCTCCCAATGATTCCAGAGCTGGGAGCCTGGGATTTAGTCCACACCTCCCTAATTAAAATAGGGGATTTTGTCCATAGAGTCTCAAAGCTTGCAAAACTCCAAATCCTTCAGTACTTAAGGAAGCTGGATGCCTTTTTCTCCCTCCACACAATCAAATCATATCCAGTGCGGCGCTTCCTTGTCCTAGCAGGTGCGCCCAGGTGCGCCACATCTCCCAGAATCCCTAGCGTGGCCTCCCAGGGGCTGGGAATTCTGGGAGGCGCTGGGCAACCTGCGGGAGTCTCCCCATCCTTCACGCCCGAAGCAGCCCAGGATGCCGGGATGTGTTATCAAGGCACACCTGGAGGGCCATCCTCCCTCCGTGCTCCCGCCTCCCCGGAAGGGTCCGTTTGGGATTAGCGACGCTCTTTCCCCTCTGGGAGGACCGAGCTGAGCCTCCCTCGGTGCTTTCCCATTCGTTTCCGGGTGGCGCTTCAATCCGGCCAAGAGCGCCCTTCCGGTCCCTCCAGCGCGAGGGGGGGAAGCAGAAGAAGGCGTTTCCGCTCAGGCGCACATCCGGGTTCTTTTGTCCCCGGGGTCGCAGCCGGGCGCCCTCCCCGCCGCCTCAGGTGGGTCCGCCTCCCGCCCCACCCCCCGCGCGTCCTGTCTCTCGCGCCGGGCGGGGAGGGTCGCGCTAGGAATCCGCCTCTTGGCTCCTCTGAGCGCCCGTTGGCCGCCTTCGCCTCCCGGCCCCTCAAAGCCGTCAGAGAGGCGCCCGCCGAAGCCCCCCCGCCCCCCGTGTGTGTGTTTGTGGTGTGTGGTGTGTGTGTTTGTGGTGTGTGGTGTGTGTGGTGTGTGGCGGAAGGGTGACGACGACGACCCCGCGGTGTAGGCCAGGGTGCCAGGCGGCGGGGTTGGAAGAGACGTCGGTCCTCCCGAGCTGCCCGCCCGCCCGGCTTCTCCTTCCCTCCGGCAGCCCCGGGTGGCCTCGCCCGGCTGGGTCTCCCGAAGTGGCCCCGGGGAGCAGGAAGGGCTCCCTCTCCGCCTCCCTCGCAGCACCTGGGCAGGTGTGTGGGGGGAGGGACACCCCGAGGGCATCTAGAGGGGCTCAACCGCCTCCCCCCCCCATCCCTCCTTTTGGGCGGGGCTTTTCCTGCGGGATGTTTTGTGTAACGTTTTGGGCCGGTCCTTGAACCCCAACAGATCCGCTGCAGCCTCTGAAGATGGCCCAGTTCAAGCGGCAGAAGCCCCTGCGGACCAGCAGCCTCCAGGGAGCCCCCCGGGGGTCGTTTCCAGGTGGGTCCCCCCCCAAGGAGCCCCTCCCCTCCCCCCACCTGGGACCCCCCTTTTCTGCTTCCTCCTTTCCTCCTCCGGGAGGCTTTGCCCGGGGGTGAAGCTGCCCTGCAGGGCCTGGGACCAGGGGGAGGCTTGGGGCCTCTTCCCTTCTCCTTCCCTGCCAGTAAAGCAGCAGGAGGAGGAGGAACCTTTGGGAGGCTTTTTAGCCAGAACTGGGCAAAGTGGGTGAAATGGGGATTTCTGCTCTACTTCCTGAGGGTTTGGGTGGGACTTTTGGAAGCTTCCAGTCGGTTTTAGTGGTGCAAATTTCTCATATTGAAGGAACAAAACGTAAGTCCTGCAATTGTTGTGAACTGTGATTAAGAGATTGATGCCAAGGGGCTAAATGAGCCGGGAATTCAAGAGCACTCGTGTTTAAGGCACCTTTATATCGGTTTTAACTCTTATGATTCTCAGAGGAGACAAAGTATGCTTCTTATTTGTATTTATTTTTATGCCTTTATTATTTTTACAAATGCAGGTAGTCCTTGACTTATGACCACAGTGACCCCAAAATTTCTGTTGCTAAGCAAGGCAGTGGAGTGATTTTTGCCCCATTTTAGGACATTTTTTGCCATAGTTGACAAACAACTCACTGCAGTTGTTAAGTAAATCATGCAAGTAAATCAGACTTTACTTTTGGGAAGCCAGATGGGAAGCTTACAAATAATGGCCACATGATCCCAGGACAATGAAATTGTCATAAATACACGATGTTTGCAAGCACCTGAATTTTGACCACATGACCCATGGCGATGCTGCAAAGATCGTAAATGTAAAAACTGGTCCAAAGTCACTTTTTCCGGTGCCGTTGTTAACTTAGAACTGTCATTAATGAATGGTTGTAAGTCAAGGACTACCACCCAAGGTGGTGAACATATCCAACACACCTTCCCCCTCCTATTTTCCCTGCAACAACAACCCTGTGAAATGAGGTGGGCAGAGAGAGAGCCACTGGCCCAGGGTCACTCAGCTGGCTTTCATGGATAAAACAGGACTTGAACTCAGCAATCTTTTGCTTTCTAGCCTGATGCTTTAACCACTAGACCAAACTGGCTCTCTTTTGGCAGCCAAACTCCTATGATTCCCAAATACATTGGGAAGAGTAGAGTATGCTTGCTAAACTGAACTATAAGCATGGACTCCTTTCATGTGGCTGCAACTACCAGTGTGTAGTCAGTGATTATTACATAGGGTTGGATCTGTGGCCAAATCGAATAATGAAACATTTGAAAGTTATGTAGGCTGTCTCCAGGCTTCTATTACTTTCACTGGGAAAGAAATATAACAAGGCTGAAGTTGTATGGAAAAGAATGTGGCTAGAATGGTTACAGAGTACTATTTATTGGTAAATAAAATGTATCCATTGCCTCCTAATACTTGATTTCAAGTGGATTCCAATGATGTTGACACCCAGTCCTTTTTCCTAGGAGCACAGCCAGCCTCTCTACTGGGACCTGCCCCGGGTCTATTAAATCCTCCTATTTCAGCAGATATCATTCAAGCAACCCGCCATCTTCAGGTAGAGAATTCATTGGCTTTCTCTGATGGGTTTCTTAGTTGCCAGGCGGTGATATCCTGATATTCTTTCCTTCTCTTGATATGGGACAATTTGGGGATTTTACCTCTACAAAAAGATTCAAGTTACAAAGTGATTCTGGTCACTTCTGATCTTGTGCCAAGAACTTTATATTTTGAAAACAGGAACCGGTCCGTTCTCTCTTAGGCCGAATCTCAGCCAGAGGTGAGGTAAAAACCCTCTGGAAATCTCCATCGCTCAGTCTGATATTTCAGGCACCTGGCTTTAACTCCTTCTGGCTTTGATAAAAGTGGAGGCACAGATGATTTTTAACTATAGGGAGAAGCTGCAGCAACGGCAAAGGTGAAACAGCACAAATATATGGCCTGAAGTCTTCATTTCCTGTGTTTTATTTCTCTCCCAAGACTGTCACAAGACTCGTTGTGCAGGTCTTCATGCGCATTGTTGCAGAAGGTGCATGTTTATGCTTAACCTGCATAAAATGCTTCAAGTGTGACAGAAAAAGGAAGTTAGAAGTTGGGTTATTCAACCTTAAAAGGAAGAGCTGTACATCTGAGTAGTGACTTAGCATTTAATTGTCCATGGCATTTAGAGCCGGTGTTAAAGAGCCGATGCAGAGGGCATAAAGTGGAGCTGATTGACTAGGAAGTGGGTAAAGGTTTGAGGTCCTCTCCACCTAAAAGAGCCCCCTGGATGGTTCAGAGTTCCAAAGAACAATAAGGAAAGTGAACTAGGCTCATGCAAAGGTACCACTTGCAGCGTTAGGGAATGTACTGGTTGACCTCGGACAGCGTGGTCATTATCAGAGGAGAGTCATTTGAGCTTATTCTAGGCCAAGTAATTCCAGTGCTTTTCTCTGCTTTTAGGGAGGAGAGAAGCAGCGTGTTTTTACTGGCATTGTCACCAGTCTCCATGATTATTTTGGCGTGGTGGATGATGAAGTTTTTTTCCAGTTAAGGTGAGTAGAACGGGAGCAGCAGAGACAGAAGCGGGCCTCAAATGGCTGCTCGAGGACAGTGTAACGTTGCCACTCTTCAGCCTTGGAAGGAGCAGTAAAGGGGCTGCGTCTCAGGTCTGAGGATCACCTACTCCTG